AGTTAATATTTTCCAGTATCAATTATTTCCGAGAAACTTCAGTGATACAAGATCCTTTCTTGATTAAAACTAGTTTATTCTTTCTTGATACAACTTTTTGTAATATGCAGAATTTCCACAGTCACTTTAAACTTAACAACCTTTATAACACACACTATAACTCGCAGTGATTCACACACTTTACTTACTACTGTTCGCTTGACACAATTATCTATCTCTTCATTCTATCTGCATATCTCTCTATTGCTGGCTTTATTTGCTGGGCTTATATACCAAAAAAGTGGGTGCCTCGCAAACACTTGGACATTTGCAGGGTTCCTCGATAAGTCATGATCCTTGTAGAAACTCCAGCGAACATGCTCCCAGTGTCGCGTGACTTCTGCTGTCGTAACAATATCATGACAAAGATAACTTTAACATAGAAATAAATCACCCTAAATAAATCATAAAGCAGCCAAATCAGTGCTATAAGTGTAGCTACCAGATTGGCCAGTAATTTTGATTTCATTCCCTTAAGTCACACACTGAATTCTTTTTTTGGCCACTCCTTTTTTTTACCACAAAGATGTTTTTGATTAGATAGACATTATATTGGTGTGACACTGCCAGATTGGTTTGATGACCTATCACAGTGTAAACTATCAACATGTCCCTGCTCTGTGATGCAGCTCATTTTCATAAAATAGAGAAGAGCAATCCCATAATATTTGTATTTCATATCCTTTTTTTTTTCAGTACTGTGTATGTATGTTAATGAGTGAGTGTTTGTGTGTGTGTGTGAAAAAAACAGAAAATGCAAACCTAATAAAATAAAAAATAGGTAAATAACTGTAAAATATCTTTTAATTATTTTTTATTTTCTTAGCAACATTTGGAACAGACATTTCAAAGCCAAAGACAAACCTTTCCTTTAATAACCTACAGGATATCACAAATGGAATACAATGTACAAGAAAAGAATGTTGTGCAAGGTAGAAACACAAACTTTGAACCATAGTATAGTAATAAAAAATGACAAATATTGATTAAAACTAAGGAAGTAAACATGATTAAGAAAAATAAAACATTTCATCAATTTTTTTTAAATTCTGTGACAAAACAAAATTTTTCATTCTAAAAGTTGAACCATTTGTTAATATCAATAGGACATGTACAACCTAATTTGAAAATTAATTCTTTTTGGATTCTGATTTTATGATTGGTGTAAGAAGGGGCATGTCATAGGGCAGCTTCTCAGTGGCACAGCAGTAATTCTGGAGACTTATAACACTAAAAACTGAGTTTTGATACTTATGATGGACAAAACACAAATTTCTCTTATGTAAATATGGTTGCAGTAGTTACAAGTAATATAATAATTTAAACATTTAGATGTACAGGTGAAATAGATATTAATAGAATAGGCTGACAGTTAACCCTTAACAAATGTTCTATGATCAGTGTAAAGGCAGGTGTTGCATTTGCTCTTCTGTCAAGTTTATGTACCAATTTCAATGATATGATGGATGTGTGTTATTCAGAAGTTCTCTGTGGCTGAATACAGTTTTAATATTAGTGTCTTGTTCATAAGAAATTAGAGATTTATTATGAAACATCTAACTAATACTACTGTTATGTGTTATAATGTGAAAGTTGTGAAGCAATATACGAGTGACTTGTACATCGAATGGATGATATGTAAGTGTAAGGGGAATGCATTTATGATCAGTGAAGATAAGTATGTTGGTTGAAATGAGGTTAGACATGTATCATTGGAATCTATAAATTGTTTAATGTGTTTGTGTTAGAATTATTGACAGTTTAAGCTAGGCAATCTCTGAAACCTGAATTTGAATGTTTACTGTGTGTAAGTTGATTATCTTTAGTATATTGAAGAATATTAGTATGATAGCCATATTGCTTGATTAAAAAATAGAGCATCTCAATAGATTTGTTACTACAGTCTTGGTCATTGCTGTAAAGCATATGTAATCTGGTGAGTTGTGATTTAGAAATGTTTCTCTTGACAATATAAAGGATTAATGGAGTAGAAATATAAGTAGTTGTGTGTATCCATTGGTTTGTGATCAACAGATGTAGATGGCTACCATTAATCATGAAAATATCTATGTCAAAAAATGATGCATACATATAGTTGATAACTACTAAAAACAAGGCCAAACAACCTTGGAAAACAAAACATTTTGACAAACTGGTGTTGAACTTAAATGTATTAGTATAGACATTGCTGCATACTTTATAATGTTTTATAGGTGTTTGAGTATGTATAGAATATGATATTAGTTTTTTAATAAATCTTTGAAATCAAAGAATAGTATTATATTAGGTAATTATTTCCAAGACTGCAGAAAAGAAGACAGACAAAATTTTGTATAAAAGTTTCATATACATAATTCACATAAATTTAGTATTAAATCAGCTTTTTTTTCATGTACCACTTTTGTACCCTAATGGTATGCTTTAAGTTAATTGAAATGGCTTATGTATTATATAATTTTTTAGTTGGCAACTGAGTTGAATAATCCCCAGCAGAAACAAGTCTGTAACTGGGTGGGTGAACGAGGAAAATGGAGCAGTGCCTTACCTAAAATCCCCATGAGAACAAGTGTAAGTCATTTCATTATATTGTAAGTGGACATTCATTCTAATGAATTATTACCTTTGTAAATGAACGTACATTTTTTTGCACTCTGTCTAGAATTTTCAGTGCTGCTAAGGTAAAGATTAGTGAAGGGGGAAAAACATTTATAAAGTAGTTTATGTACATTTTAACAAAAGGAACTTTGTCATTTTCTTAGTTAAGACAAGAATCAAACTTTCCCTATTTTTGTAAAACTTATAGCTTATAGCTTTGTATTATTTGGCTCAAAAATGTTTAAAAATATAAAGACTTGTCAGATATGATTTATTAATGTATATTTGTTTTACAAATAACACAAAGCTCTGTCTGCTGAAGTTGAAGTAAAGTATAATTTAAAAAACTCGTAAATCAAAGAGCAAGTCAAAAACATTGATTAATGCTAACCACAAGTTTATACATTTAGGTAAAATGTAAAAGGTATTAAAGAATATTTATAGCAATAAAAGTGTGGAATTAATATAAACACCAGAATCATGAAGAATCTAATCAAAAATACCTTAGGTGTAAAAAAAAATGTGCGGCCAAAAAGAGGATTGAGTGTGCGACAGTGAACTAGGTCGCATTTATTGTTCAACTTGGGCAATAATGGTGGGTAAAACAATATGTGGACCAGCTAACTAATGAATGAATATTTGCTGTAAAATTCTTATCAATGCTATAAGTGTAGCTACAAGTTTGGCTACCAATTTTGATTTCGTTCCTTTAAAGTCTCACACTCAATCCTTTTTTTAATTGCATCTTTTTTTTGCTTTAGAATTACAACCCTATTATTTGGAACAGACCAAAACATTACAGAACCAACCAGATTCTTTAAAATATATGGTTGTAGTTTTCCTCCCTAAAACAGTGTTAATAACTTTTTTTTTTGTAATAACACCATGTGATCTAGATTAACAGTTGTGTGTCATCACTTACATGCACTCGGTACAACCGTATCAAGCATTTTTATTTACTCTAATTGCTGAAGCTAATATCACATGATGCTAAATGCTCTTTAATTAGGAGAATTTCATAAAATTTTCCAAATTTATGCTTAAAGGTTGGCAATGAATAATCAATAATAACTGTTCACCTGTGTGATTCTTTTGAAAACTTGAGCTAGAAACTGTTAATCTAGTTTGCTTGGCCTAACCAATACTGTATCTGAGCATCCTTTCACCTTGTAGTTTTGCTGCTCTAAATTGGCCGTATTTAATATGAATGACAAAAAATGGTTCACTTTCACTCTTAGGTAAAGCTGTAGTAAAAAATGTTAGACCAATAGCTCACGTACCTTTTTGCGTAGGCGTGGGCAAAAGTTTTCATTAAATTTGAGCTGTTTTTATTGAATAACTTTGCATATGTGAGACTCCTAATTGTAGGTTGTTGAGATCTATCAATTTTACTAGCAAATAAAGTTTTGGTACTTTGGTGCGAAGAAAAAATAGGAAGAAACTCAATCAAAATTGGAGATGTTATATCTCAGGTATGTCTTAATGGATTTCCTTGAAATTTGGTATGTGAAGTAAGAGTCCAGTAGAGCACATCCACTGAAAATATGGGATTGTTTGGATTACCACAGTCCGAGCTATAGAAGATGGAATATTGCTAAACTATCTCTTCTGTTAATAACCTACAGTATGTCCTGCAGCAGGTTGGTTTGGCTGCACAACACACTACTGTGTGTCTTGATTCTATGATCTACCTGAAAATTTTTCTCGTAATTCCACAAAAAATAGCTTTTATTCATGAGTCTTTAAAAAATCTTGGTAACAACTTCTTTTTTTTTTCAATTTTATGGAGTTTTTATATCACATAGTATTTTTTTTGGATTTAAAAAAACTCGGTTCAAGTCAGGTTAAAGCCATCTTCACATTTAACAACAGGTAACAGTATGAACAAAGCAATGCCATTGATCCCTCTGCTTGGCCTTCTTCATAGTTTCTTCTATGTTAATCCTCTGCCATTCATTAATGTATCTTCACTGAACCTTCTGCCTTTCATTCACTTACCTGTTTGTTCTAATCATAACTGACATAGTGATTTGTTTTAAAGTTGCTAAGTATTGATTTTGAAACAAAATGTTTTTTCTGTAACCAGTCCTGCGGGTTTTTGTTTGACACAAGCCACAGTGTTGAACTTCAAGATGCACATTTGTGGATTTTACCAGAAGACGGTGCTGGACATATAAATCTTCCTACTTTGTGTGTAGGAGATTTCAAGGTTTGTTTTCCTAGTTAGCAAATAAAGTAATTTGAAAATGTTTTAGTGCTTGTGTGTTATTAAAAAAATATAGTAGTGTTTTTTTTTCATATATTCTTACTTCAAATAATGCTGTAATACAGTAAACAAAAATTTATTTTAAAAAACCTAATACTATCTGATTAAATAAATTGTTAAGAACATTAACTTAATGCTGGAATAAGAATTTAAAACATTTCAAAGTGTTTGAAAATTTTAAGAACTTTATTTTTGCCTTGTAATGACTTCTTATGAAGCCCTGAAATGTTTTGTGTTGAATGTAAAGAATTCTGGCTAGCTCCAAACTATTACTTTAACTTGTACCCAAAAAAAAACTAATAATTCAAGTATTTTTTTTTTATTTTCTTTAAAATAATCCTAGATAGAATCCTAAAATATTTTATTTTGTTCATAAAACAACTAATATAAAACTCTTGCATTACTGCTAATACTACTCCATATTTTGCACAATGAATCGCTATCTTTCTTTTTTTTTTTTTTACTAAAGTGTTTAATTAGACCTAAAATTTTAATTTGTTGTGGTCCAGCCTCAAATGAATCCCTGAACTATTGCTTTATGTTGGCTTGAAAAAAAAATAAAAAACTTTAATATACTGCTTTATTTGAGTATAAGGCAAATCCACATGAAATTATTAAGAATAATGATTGCATATTAAGCCTTGTTCACAGCAGTTTTTTATTGATAAGGTTTGATAATTTGATTTGTAAGTTGTATTCATTCAAAATATCACGTTTAAAAATGAATTGAGGGTTACTATAACAAATTTATCAATACATATTTGTAATTTGGTCTCTTTTTATATAATATATACATATATCTGTTATATTTGGAACAATTCAAGATACTTTTTCTTATACCATTAGGTGGATGGGATGAACCTCACAATTGTTAATCATCACCTGAAAGAAAACAGTATTAATGGCAAAGTAGGAGAAAGGTTAACTGAAGTAATGGAGTGTTTGCCTAAACATTTAAGGGGTAAATTTAAAGTCTTTTTTTGTTAAAGGTTAAAAATTGTCCTAATAAGATTAACATCTGAAAATCATATAGCACATACAGAAGTAGAATTTATTTTTTCCTGTTATTTCATTCTTTTAATGAGTATTAGGCAGTAAGGATGGCTCGGATCATTCATCAAAACGGTATTTTAAATATCTCCTCGGTAGGTCATCAGAACTTTACAATAATATACAGTGTTTCCTTTTATAACAATATATATGTAATGACTGAGTCGTAAGGTCTGGGAATGTCTGTAAATATCATAGCAAAAAGTTTGAATTTCTTGTTCTTCTTTCTGCTGCTTCTTTTTTATTACATGACAACTCAAAAAACACAACAATGCTATCAACCAATTTCACTGAGGTGTCATAGTTTCAAATGTAGTATCTGCTTTTATAAGTATTATTAATAATTAGTAATAATTTGAAAAAAATCTTAATTCTAATGTAAATGATGTTATTATTACCCCTTGATGTTAGCTTTCTTTCAGAAACTTAGTGTTCCTTTAAAAAGCTTAAGTACAAGGTGAAACAGGAATTACCAGCCAATAATAGATAAACAATAGATATTACAGAGTGAATCTCATTGTATTTAGAACTTGGTTATAATTACAGCCTTCCTATGCCTATTGAAACACTGCATTAAAAAAACAAGTGAAGAAAAACTTTTCAAACAAGGAAGTAAGTGTAGGAATGGCTAATATCAATTCTTCAAAAACAATGCAAACAAGATAGTAGGGATAATAGTTGCATTATCCCTACATAATAGCACATGCAATAAATAACATATAGCAACATATATAACTATTCAATCACAATTGAGTTTATCCTATTTTTGTCTGTTAACATTCTACTGCAATTTGTGCCTGTGCTATTATGTAGGGATGATGCAAATGCTATCCCTACTATCTTGTTTGCATTGTTTTTTAGGGATTGGTATTGGCCACCCTTATATTTTCTTCCTTTTTTGAAAAGTTTTTTCTATACTTTTTTCTAATCATTTTGGATGTTTTCCATAGTAAAATTTTATTGTGAATAATCTATTTAGTGTAAGTGCTGCCCAAAACTATAGCCATATTTTGGTTTTTACAAAAAAAAAACGTACTTGGTAGGATGTAACAAATATTTATTGTCAATTTTTATTTTAGGTGTAAGGTTGTATTATTTAAAGGTACCTTTTTAGTTAAGCAATCTAAGTTTTTAGAAAAGTTTAGAAGGAAACTGGAATTAAAGTCTACATCTCTACTTACCATAGCAGCAGTAGTATATGCTCAGAATCACTTTATCTTTACTAGTTATCATTGAAGGTTCAGAAGTATTAAATAACATACTTTACAATTTTTTTTTTTCAGATGAAAAACATGTCATCATAGTTGGAGACTTTTATCTTCCTCCTACTGATCCTGGTTGGTAAAACTTCTATCCACCTCATCCCTGTTAAATGGTTGTTGAATTAATCTATTAATATTAATATATCTCCACTTTTCGTTTCTTAATTGTTGCTTGTTTTCATTTAAGCTTTTTTATTCCCCTTTTATCGTGTTTGTATACCTTTTTTTTGTCTTTTTTTTATTCCATTATAACAGTAGCAAATTGTCTTTTTCTAAATTTAGGAAAGCTTTACCTCTTGATACCTCTAAAACAATTGACTGTTGTTAAAAGATGTGTTGTTGTTTTTTATAATCAAGTCATCAAAGTTTTTTAGTTTTATACTTGTATTAACTAGTAAATTTTGTAACAAAACATAATTTCAAAACAAAGACAAATAACTTTCAGTTTTATTTCAGCGTTAGAAGCCTTAACCAGTCATGGCTTTAGTCACCTGGTGCCAGCTAGCACAGTTACTAATTTAAAAACAAAAGAGCAGGATACTCATTTCTGGGCAAGTTGTGAATTTGAAAGAACGTTTACAGGTCAGTATTAATGTTACATTATAAAAATCCTATATCTCAAAGGATCATTCATCCTTCTAGAATTGTGAGGGAAATATGCCCCATTTTCTTCTTATTCGTTATAAGAACCATATTCTAAAAGCACTTGAGCTAAAAGTTTTTGAAGTAAAACAAAAAGCAAGTTGAGAAATTCAAGATATAGAACCAACCTGCATTTTTGAGAACAACAATAAGTTGAGCTTTGCTGGCTGAGGGATGACTTCAGACTGGAAATCAAGACTTATGAGTCATTAATTGCATTTCATCCTCAGTTGTATGCAGAAAGTTGAAATCAGTACTGATATATACAATAAAGACTAATATATGGTCTGCAGGTTGATGTGAATGATTTTGTATTTTGCCAAATGTAATACTATAAAGAAACATTAAATCTTAAACAAGAAATTTGATTTGAGGTAACGTATATCAAAATAGTTATGTACTAATATTGTTGATCAGGATAAAGTCTTAAAAAATGTCAAATACTTTGTTTAAATTTGAAGAGTTATTTTTTGCTTCAAGAAAAATGTTTATGTTCCACATATTTTTGTTGCTCTTAAACAAATAAGCTAATGTATAACAGGTAAACAAGATATGAAATTTATGATGTTGATATATATTTTAATATTAAAAGAAACTTGAGACAATTTTATATGTAAAATAAATTATCTCCGCAATATTCTTGCTTCTATACTGGAGCCTAAAGCTTTCAGAAGTAAATTATTTTTTTACCTTGATAAATGTTGCAGTTTTTCTTCATGGCTGTTAGGGGTGTTAGTGTCTTCATGAGTAATTTATCTTTTAAAATTGATGACTTTGTGGCCAATGAAACATCTGACGTTCATAAGGTAGCCAAGTTTATTTAAGGTTATTTTTCATTTGTTTGTAGGGTTTTTCTGTATATATTAATAATGTAATATTATTAAAATACTAACAGTAATCACTGATTTTGCAGAATGTGGACTTGCATTTGTGGTTGTATGTGTTATTGGCTTTTTATCATTTGTTTTAATTCAAGTTTTAATGTTTTTCTCATGCTCTGTGGCTTTGGTTTCAAAAATATTGTACTTTATAAATTAATTTTAACATTCAACTGATGAATTCAGTAATTGTTTTTATCATTTCAATATTTTTATTAGGACATTGGGGTGTTGTTCATGAAGGCTTGAACCACCCTGCCATACCAGATGGATGGATGTTGGGTGGGCCTGTGAGTTGGCATTGTCCATTGTGGGTAGAGATGTATGTCCAGAAGGTTGTAGATGATAAGAATACACAGATGCTCAGTGATCAGTTGGAAGTTTATTCATCAGAAGAAAAAGAAAAGGAGATTGGCCACTCTTCAGTAGTGAATGATGAAAGAAAAAAGAAATATTCATCTCGAAAATCTAAAAGTTTTATGGGTTATTTTCAAAGGCCCAAACTTCATTACAAAAGCACCATTTTAGCAAGATCCAGAAGCATAAGTGGAAAATTATTCTAATTGTTACAAACTTTGAAATGCCTTATGGGTGAGAATATCTCAGCTGTTAGAATAATTTTTATGCAAAACTCATTAGCCATAGGTTGTCAAGCTATAAGAAATTATAATAACACTTCTATCATTCAAATATATCAGGGGTATTTATCTATTAACTTTGAAATATTTACTCATAGTTGGTGTGAACTTATTTTTCTTCAAGCCTATCTAGACCAGAAAGAGATGTTTTCAGGTGTCAAGTGCTCACTTGCATATTAGATTTCAAAATTTAATTAAGAATAATAATAAGTGTATTTCAACGCTTTTTAACTCAAAAGATAGTTTAGAATTGATATTTTGTAACATATATTTAGGGTAATGTGGAAAGAAAAACTAAAAAATGTTCAAACTCTCATTTTTTTTCAGCTCAGAAGTTTTGCTCATGAACAACACATTTATCAATTTCTTTACCCATCCTAAAGATAGTTTTATAATTGTTAAGAAACTATCATACTATGTCTTGTTTTTCACTGATTGCATCTGTACATTAATGGTTTTATTACTACAGCAATTTGTTGACACTCTTTTATGATGTCATAGAATGTCTGAATAACTTCTAATGAAACTCAGCTTTGAAAATAGTTGTAGCCAACATTTAAGTATGATTGGATAGAACGTATTATAAACTAGTTATGTCAGTGTAGAGTAAATGAAATGGTGTGAGCAGTAAAACATTGTTTATCAAGATAATGATTAGTCAGAACTCCTGTAGGGCTTTAGAAATTTTCTTCCATAACAAGTCATCAGGTAAGCTAATCAGATTTAGCTAATATGGTAGGTGTTGAAAAAATATTCTGATGATCAAATCCATATTTATTGAATAGTATTGTTGAGTTTATCATATTCAAACAATGCACACAAATAACAAACTATATTTATTTGGTATAAATTAATCTTGATTAAGAATGCTGCTTGCAAAAATCGTGATACCTAGCCTGACAAAGGTAATAGTGATGCAATTTTGAAAGTTGAGGTTCTAGGTTGCCAATAAACCTTTTGTCAGTTTTAGCTATGTTTCTTTGTGAATCATAGCCAGAAGTAGTTACTATTATAATCACAAAAATAAAGCGTCAAAAAAAGTATGAATATGAGTCAAGTTGAAATATCTAAAGTGGAACTTTTTTGATCAACAATAAAGATAAATTCTAAGATAAAAGAAAGTTTTTGGAAACTTATCAATCTAAGAAATTATAGAAACACTAAATGATGAATATTATTTAGTAAGTTTGTACTAAGTTTCATACAATTTGGATAAGTACTTCTACACCTTCTATGGCCCAGAAAGGAATAATTTCAAACTGAATATCTATAGTAAATATGTGCTACATTATAGTACTTAAATTTATTGAAGGTGGCTCCTCTGTGTCTTAATAAATTTAATTAGTGATTTTTACCTGAAGGTATTCATATAGTAGAAAAAGAAGTAGGTATTGAAATTTCAAATTTATAGTATTTGTAACTATATTTATATTATTTGTTAGATGTATAGTTAAAAATGTTTTAAATTGTTTACAAAATGAGCTTAGGTATAATTGTTGTTGTTGTTGTTGACTAAATGTATATTACTGAAATTACTTCTTGGAAGATTGACAAGAAGTAATTATAATGTGTAGCTTAATTGCATTTTGATTAGAATTTCTTTGTAAATAAGAATTTTGCTGATATATATTGTTGAATGTTGTGTAAGATATACAGATTTATTATAGATTATGAAAGTAGAGTATATTGAAAGATCTAAACAAAAAAAACCCTGATTTTTATATCACTTACCCTACATAATGTTGTTGTTGTTATTATGCTTGAAAGATGTAATTTTGGTGCTTTTTTTGTTGGGAAGAATATTAGTCACCAGTATACCTGTATTTAGATTCAGTCTTAATATTTAATAAACAAACACATAACCACTTTTCTTTGTGCACTTTGCCCTCTAGTTATTGTAATTATGTTTAATTTAAACTCTTGTGTTTTCCAATTATATGAAAGTCTTTCATAATTTCTAGTATTTTTAGTGGTTATGTTAATTTTGTAATGGTAACTTGTTTAGTTGCAATTTTGTCATAGCTTGTTATTTCTCTTATTTGTCAAATTAACCCTTTTAAGTCTAATTATACATGTCTTTCACTGAAATCTTACTATCTTGAAAAGTCATGTTATGTTAAACCATTTGTAAGTTGTGTATGCATTATTTCAGCTACTGCCATCACTTTATTTCCTAAAATATTTCAGGTTTAGTTAGTGCACTCTTTATTTTTTTATTTCAAGTAGTTAAAATAATACATTGTTTACAAATGTCATGTTATTGATATATATATATATTAATGTAGATCAATTTCTTGTTTTTAATATAACTTAATTATGTAAGGCATCTTCTTACTAGGAATGATTTTATAATTTTAGTTTAATTAAGCAAGATTGATTAAATTTGTAAACAAAACATTCAGTAGTTATCATTGAAACACAAATTTGCATACACATGATGAAAGTGCCTATTTTCCATTTCAAAATCAGTATATATGGATGTTTAAACATGCAGTGACACATAAGATAACATTATCCTTGTATTCTTATCTTATTACATTCTTCTCATAAATATGTATTTTAGGTTCCACAGAATCAAATTCATGGCAAGTTTAAATAGTAACCATATGTTGTAGATCTTGTAAAGGGATCTGAAAATGAATAGTAACAGTACATGATACATTTTGTAAAGGTACCTGAAATTGAATAGTAAGAGTACATGATACATTTTGTAAAGGTACCTGAAACTGAATAGTAACAGTACATGATACATTTTGTAAAGGTACCTGAAACTGAATAGTAAGAGTACATGATACATTTTGTAAAGGTACCTGAAACTGAATAGTAACAGTACATGATACATTTTGTGAAGGTACCTGAAACTGAATAGTAACAGTACACATTTTGTAAAGGTACCTGAAACTGAATAGTAACCATATATCGTGGATTTTGTAAAGGTACCTGAAACTGAATAGTAACCATATATCGTGGATTTTGTAAAGGTATCAAACTGAATAGTAAAAGTGTATGGTAGATTCTGTAAAGGTATTTGAAACATCTTTAAGAGGTTGAAACATAATCTACTGATACCAAGACATGCATTTCCATATTCAATTACTTTTTCTCTGCTCAGTAACATGTATTGAATACCTGTGACAGTAATGATTAATTTTTTTTGGTTACTGTAAATTGATCTGGGTCTTATTGGCAAAAAATTAAAGTAGATGCATTTCCCAAATTGTTAGGTTCAAAGTAAGTCATAAAAATGAAGATTGGTAATTTATAATAGAGTAGAAAGACATCTTTGTTGAAATAAATATGGTCACTTCTCAAGCAAATGTAGAATACAAAATTATTTAAAGCTATTTTCTTTCAGTGCTTTCACACTCTACAACACTAAAATATGTTGTATAAAAGAACAAATTATACGAATAATTGTGTGGTCTAAATCTTCTATATTTTCTGTAGTGTCATTATTTGATTACATTGGTTCATTTTGTATGAGTAAAGTCATAGAGCTATCAGTAAGTATTCAACTGATTATGAAATGCTTCGCCCAGTATATTTTATTTACTTAAACACACACAAAAATGTAATTCTCCTTGATTTAGTCCTCTCACTTGGCAGTGATAGAACCAGTGTACTTTATAGATATTTCAATTCCAACTACTTAAACTGCAAACATAAGTTTAATTACTTTTTTGTAAACCCTGACTTAAAACTTGAAATTTACACAAGTAGTTAATGAATTCAGATGTCTGTAAATTACATGTGATCTAGAAGCTGGAGAATGATCCATTCAAAGAACAGAGAAAACATAGGGACCTCTTGAGGAGTGAAATAGAAAGGCCAGATCCAAATACTGAATATGTTGCTCACCAGTGTGTCTTCAAAGTTTAGTAGAGATCAAAAGAATAGCATGGGAAACATATATAGGGCCCAGGGGATAGCATAGGTGAGTCAGATCCAAACTCTTAAGTGTGAATAGAGGAGACTTTGATTTATATACATAGTTAAATACATTTTCACACACTTTCAGAGTGGCTTGCCACATAAATGAGTGGGAGCAAATTAAGGCTGCTTCACAGGTGCATACAATTGCCAATATGAACTTGTTGCAAAAGTGTGAAATTACTGTATAAAAAAGACAGAGGCAAAAGGAATACAAAATAAAATATGTGCTGGTAAAAACAATACAACAGTTTATTCACATAAGGAATAAAACTTAGAATGAGATTTTAAGTACATCCAATCATTTAAACAACACAGTAAGATAAAATTTATACATCTTAGTCATTAAAATTTTCAAAGAACACTGGGTTAAAAATAAATTTAACTTCCAGGGTTCAATTTATATTAAAGAAAATGACTTAGACTGTGCTTAAATTGAATATTGTGCTAAATTTATTCTTAAAACCAATATATTTAAACTTCAGAAGAGAATCCAAGAAACTGTTAAATAATGTGAAAACTCTGAGACCATAGAAAAATTTTTTCCATAATTATAATAAATATTTCTGCATATTCTCAAAGTAATGTTCTAAAGACATGCTTATACAGTTTAGCCTTCAAATATGAATAGGTGCCCCTTTTTTGTGTGATAGGTTTCTACCATTATTTTAGTTTTTTTTATAATTAGTAGATATTGAAGTAAATGCTGTATAGGTCACTGGTTAAGCCACATTTGGAATATTGTGTTCAGTCTTGGACTCTACTTTAGTAAAGACATTGAATTGTTAGAAAGGGTTACAAGAATGGTGCCTGGGATGGAGGGGTTGTCATATGAAGAGAGGTTGAAATCTCTCAAATTGTTTTCTCTTGAAAAAGAAAGTTAGGGAGATCTGATTGAGGTGTTAAAGATTGTATAGGGAATTGATAGTGTTGATGCATCATCTTTTTTTCATAGTTAATAGTGGGACTAGGAGATGCCAATATAAATTTTGGCAACGTAGGAGTCATCTTCAGCTAAGACAGGTATATATTTTTTAACAGGATGGTTGTCATTTGAAATGGGTTGCCTTCGGATGTTGAGGCAGTAAATTTAAGTGAGTTTAAGAGAAAGCTTGATAACTATATGAATGATAAGGGCTGACTTTAAGTTTTTTTAAATTTATTGATAGTTTAGTTTAGAGGATGGAACAGCTGAGAAGAACCAATAGGTCCCACGTTCTCGCAAAACGTTATGTAAAAAAAAAACAACTTGGCTTTAGTACTTCCAATACGAATAACAATGGCATAGCCCTAGAGAGCTAAAGCAGAAAATGGACTATATTATCCATGGTACTTGTTGGAGCAGATGCTTCTGGTAGTTAGTACTGTCTGAGTGTGAGCCTGTGTTTATACATTTCGTATGTGGGAACAGAGGTCTTGCATATGATGTCATGAAACTTTGTCTAATTCATCCATGCAGCATTGAAAGTCAAACATCGTTCTACTCTAGCAATCCATATCGATACAAGATTCGCAGGATTTTAGTTCTGTGACCAGCTGAAAAACAGGTGGGGGGGGGGGGTCGAAGGCAATTCAGTTTCACGCTAAGCTTTCTTTTTCTTTCACATTGTTCAGGGAGATGATTTACAATGTCAAATAAAACGATATTAGGAGGCAAATTTGTTGTTTTTAATCCAAGATGTACTTGACTTCCAATATAACAGAGTAAACTATAAGCCAGTGACTATTTGACGTCAGTGCAAAACCTCTATAGGCAACACACTTTCAAGGTTGTTCTGTTTGATGGTTGGCCATGGTTTGTTCAGATGTGAGGTTTTCTTCTTTTTTTTGTTATACCGTAAAGAAGAAATTTCCTGCTATTTAATGGATTCTAACTATCCAGTGCTACTATTTTTTAATGGGAGTATAGACAGAGTGCACATAGCCCTTGTATGGCTTTGCACTAAGAAAATAGCCCCCCAGTGGCACAGCGGTATGCCTGCGGACTTACAACGCTAGAAACCGGGTTTCGATACCTGTGGTGGGCAGAGCACAGATAGCCCATTGTGCAGCTTTGAGCTTAATTCTAAACAAACAAACTAAGAAAATAACACTTCCATTGTATTTGCATGCTGCTTGAGATCTCTTTCACGACAGCTTTTAGATGACCCTGATAATAGAAGCACAATCTTCTTTACATAAGTCACTTACCACTACTTCGCCCACTGTGATGGATTTTCACTACATTTGGCACGAAGGTTTGTTTGGTCCATACAAATTTGCGGTTTCCCATTTTTTGTCTTGCAGGTTTTATGGCGTTTTTTACAATTACATATAAGGCAAGCAAGTTTTCGTGTCCTGAGGTAACCTTTTATTAATCATGAATTTAAATAACTTCCGTTCAGGGGACAGGTACTACAGCTAGTTAAATAATAAAGTAAAATCAGACGTTGACTGCCTTCACTTCAAACAAACGATTTAATTTATAAGCAACGTTTTGCCATAGGGCTATATCAGTTACTGTTGTAAACTGATAGAGAGCTAAACATTTTATCACATGCTACATAAAAGTGACAGAACAACGATTTACAAAAATATTAATATTAAATCAGTTGTGTGATACCACATCACAATAAGACTGATAATATTATTTACAAATCTCTCATTAATGGCGATATAATACAGGTTTACAGTAAGAGGAAACAGACCCCTGCCAACCAAACCTTCTCAATACCAGTACTCGTCAGGTTGATTGGGAATGAAACACACAAAGCTTAAGTCAAAATTCTCTTTACATCAGTTGTTTAAAATATATTGATTCTGTTGGTATGTAACACCTTATGCTGGTGGAGTTTGATCAACAAGTTGGAAGTTTGTGTGATATTACATAACGATAAAATAATCTTTCTTTACTGGTCCTGTACTATGAGTTTCTCCGACAAGGTTTCTGTATGTCCTTTCTCCTTTTACACCTTCAATTTGTGACCAATTTTAACCACACTTGGCATACATCTTAACCCCTCTCCCATAGGGAGTGGGATAGGGGTAATATTCTTGAATCTGTCACCCACTTGGGGACCTTATGTATTAACCATACTATTCTTTTGATCTCTACCAAACTTTAAGGGCACCCTAGAAGAGACAGAGTGCATGTACAATTTAGAACTAGCTTTATGACACTCCTCGAGAGCTAATATGTCTTCTCCACATCAGTTAATCTATATGAAGCAGAACCTGATGTAGCTGAGTAGCAAGAGCTCTACGGAGAATACTGAATGGTCTTTGCTAGATCTTTCCCCTATACCTGAAAATTATGTGACAGTAAGGAAGTCATGTT